TCTTGTAGAACCCAGGACCACCAGTCCAGAGATGTCACTTCGTACAATGGGTTGGTTTCTCCAACAATCACTAATTAAGAAAATGTTCTACAGCTGGATCTTCTGAAAGCATTTTCTTAATTCAGGACTCTCTTTTTAGATAACTCTAGCTTGTATCAAGCTGACATAAAACTAGCCAGCCAATGACATGTATATGAGAATGTAATATGAGCCTATTGATCTGCCAGGGACCACAGAATCACTGAATCATCTCTTGAAGGACTTTTTTTTGGGGGGTCAATTTAATGTCATGCTTGACATAGGTGTAGTTGTTTTTTTCTTTTTTCTTTCCTTCGCTCTTTTTCTTTTTCTTTCTTTTTTTTTCTTTTTTTTTTCTTTTTCTTTTTCTTTTTTTTTTTTGGTGTTTTGAGACAGGGTTTCTCTGTGTAGCTTTGGAGCCTGTCTATAGACTAGGCTGGCCTCGAACTCAGAGATACACCTGTCTCTTTCTCCTAAATGCTGGGATTAAAGCCATGCACCACCACTGCCCAGGTGTGTGTGTGTGTGTGTGTGTGTGTGTGTGTGTGTGTGTACTATTTTTGATGAGATCATTTCCTATTCTGTGTTCATTCCCATAAAGCTTGTCCATGCTAATTGCAGAAGAGGAAACAAAGGGAGAGAAAAAGCATGTACATTCTCATTAGGGATCATTGAAGTCAGGAGAGGATGTGACTGTGGTAAGATGCTCATCTGGCATGCAGGAAACCCTGAGATTGATTCATAGAGCCACATAAGCACAGAATAGTGGTTCACAGAGGGTGTGGAATTAGAAATTTAAGGTCATTCTTACAGATATTTCTGTGATATTTTATGATCTAACAAATAAAGCTTGCCTGAAGCAGAGCGGTCAGCCACTAGAGAGTTCCCTCCTCTACCAATGCTTGGACTAAAAGGGCCATCCAGGCCTTGGACTACATCTCCAAACTGCACTGCTCCTCTCACTGCACTCAGGCCGCACTGAGTTCCTGTCTCTTCTTGCCTTATATTCCTCTCTAGTGTTGGGATAAAAGTCGTGGGATCACCTTTCTGTGAGCTCTGTTGCTCTTTAGACTGGATCAATTTCATGTAGCTCAGGGTGGACTTGATCTAACAGATCTGTCTGCCAATGTCTCCTGAGGATTAAAGGTGTCCACTACCACTGCTGGCCTCTAAGGCTAACTAGTGTGGCTGGGATTAAAGATGTGTGCTACCACTGCTTGGCATCTGTGTTTAACTAGTGTGGCTAGCTTTGCATCTCCAGTCCACACTGCTCTTCCCTAAGTTCCTTTCTCATATCACTCCTGTGTCCACTTTCCTAGTGGGAAAAAGGCATTATATCTTGACAGCTGTATTTTTTGTACCTCTTTCAATTTCTTCTCAGTTGTAAAATAGTTATGCCATAAGATATATTAAAAGAGCGAATTTTATTTATTTACTTATTTTTTACATAGGGCCTCAACATTTATCCATGACTGGCCTGGAACTCACTATGTAGACAAGGCTAACCTCAAACAGTGATCTGGCTGCTTCTGCCTCTGAAGTGCTGCCATTTAAGGTGTGTGCCACAACACTAGGCCAAAGACCTAAGTTTTTAAAGTTACATTTACTTACATATATTTGTATGTGCATGGGCATGCATGTGGACATCAGTTTTCATCTGTTCTAGTCTTTCCTGGATGAGTCATCTCCCTTGCCTTATTTTATTTCCTATCTATTGCTAATGTGGTTATTTCTTACCACATGAAGTTTAAGACTTCTTTGGGGGCTGGAAAGATGGCTCTGCAGTTAAGATCAAGAATTTTTCTTGCAGAGGTTTTGTTCTAGCATCTACATGGACAGCTCACAACAGTCAGTAACTCCAGCTCCAAGGGATCCAACACCCTCTCTGGCTTTCCCAAGCACTCATTCACATTGATGTTCAGAGACATATGGACACATAATTTAAAAAGCAAACAAATCTTTAAAAACAGAGAGGTTCTTGTATATTTCTAATGGCAATACTTTGACAGGCATGGATTTTACAACTGTTTTCTCTGTTTTTGGCTTATTTTCCATTCTCAACAGTAATTTTGCAGACTTGCATAATTTTGATAAAAACCCCACTCACTTTTTTCTTTCATGTTTTTAGGATTATAGCTCAAGCTACCACTGTTGAGAAAAGAATAATCTCGGTGCTACACAAAAGAACACATGAACAAAGTGAAAGCAACTCAGTACGTCAATTTCTTTTTGCAAAAACTGTCACCAAGACTGAAACACACACACACACACACACACACACACACACACACACACACACACAGAGCACTAGCTGCTTCCTCTCCGTTATTTTCATGTTTTCTTCCACACCAGCACCTACATGAAACATCCAGAATAAATAAATAGAAGTCTTAAGTTTCCATTCATGTAGTAACACTTAGGAGAGAATTTTGGCCAATTTTATTATTTAAAAAGGGGTTTGTTTTCTTGTCTTTAGTTCTTACAATGTTGTGGTGGTACCAGGAGTATTTAGTAGAAACACTTGAAACACTTGACCTTTTTTTTTTTTCTGGATAGGTTTTTGCTATACATTTCAGTCTAATGCCTCAGCCTTCCAACCTTTAAACCTTACCCATAGCCCTCTACCAACTACCTTCCTTCCTTCCTTTCTAAAACAAAACAAAACAGACGTTATTTAGTTATTTAGTCATTATTTGTAGTTGTATTTGTACCTTCGAGAATTTATGTGCCCCATATGTATGTAGAAGCCATAGGAGTGTATAATGATGGCATAGTATCCTCTGGAACCAGTTACAGGTGGCAGGATCTGATTTGTAGGTACTAGGAACTGAGCCTGAGTCATCTGTATGTGCAGTAAATGCTCTTAATCGCTGAGCTATCTCTCCAACTCCCTAGTCCTTGAGTGTCCAAAAGCAAAAATTGGGATTATTGCGATACTATATCACACTGGCTAAGTAGAATCAAGCCTTCACTTTGTTAGTCAGAGGAGGCCTGTAATAAAAACCTGGTTGGTCACTGCTCCCTACATGGAAAATGAGATTTTCCCCCCACCACTTTCCCATTTTTAAAAAATGATCATCACTTGCCAAGTAATAGAAACATGCAGGGAAGCTTTTAACCAACTTCAGCTTGGAATCTCCAAGCACTAATTTGTACAAGTCAAGCTGGGCAGGCTAGGTGGGTAGGGTTTGCTGCGCAGCTACTCGAGGGTCTGCGGTAGCCGAGAGCTGGCGACCGGGTAAAGCCTGAAGCTGTAATGATGTCAACTTGTTATTTACTTTCCAAATCTGAATGACTGAGCAAGGCGAAAGGAGAATCAATCAACCACAATGTGACCCTACAGGCGGAAAAAACGCAGCGCTACCACCAGCATGCAGTGGGGGAAGGGAAGCACGTGTAAACCGGGCCAGGGTTGCATCATGAGCGGGCCCGGGTTTTCGATTGCACCCTTCGTAATACCTCAGCATCAGTCTGCACGAGCTCAGGAGCCCGGGAGCTACGAAGGGCAGCTCAAGGGAGCCTCACCAAATCCTTTGGGGTGGGGGGACTTGAATGGCAGCCGATAGCTAATAAGCCAGTGTTCTGCTGATTCACAATTATGGAGACTGTGTAAGTGTGTATTTTTTATTGATGCGCTCTAATAACGGTGTACCAACAGTCGTTTGACATCTTTGACGTTTCGCAGCAATATTTTGCAAGGTAATTTTGAGGTCCGCCTGTTTGATGGAGAATCGGCCCCTTAAAAACTCGCCCCGGGTTCTCCCCCTCCCCCCAAACCGTCAGAGCAACAAACGCCTAGTGTTCAAGGAAGGAGCAAGTGAGGTTAGATTTTAAATTGCTGAGTGTTACTGGGCTCTTAGCACCAAGCTCATTAGAAGCCTAAGGGAGGGGCAAATTGATTTTAAAAATACTCAACAAGGCAGACACCAAAGGTGCTGAGGAGGAGGGCCGCATATTTATTTAATTGAATTAAAGCCGGGGGTTGGGGGGGAATTGTCACCAACGTGGAAGGGAGGAAGAAGCGCCAGGGCTGGGCCTTAACAGCCATGGCAACAGAGAACATTTTGCCAGCGCCTGCGGTTTCAGGCCTGGGGATGGGGATTTGCAGGTCTGAGGACCCCAGTACCCTAACATACCCCTCCCCAGTATATTCGGGTCTTCGCCTTGTACTGAAGCTAATCCCCTATGCATTTCTGATTGTTGGCTGGGAGGTGTTTTGCAAAGGTCATGTCTGCGCCCGAGTCTTCATTTTTTTTTTTTTTTGTGGGTGGGCGTAAAGGCAACGTGTGTGTGTGTGTGTGTGTGCTTTAAATCGTTAGTTTTGAAGATTTTCCAGGAGACGGATTGCACGGGGTGCACGGGGTGCACGAGGACCTCCTAGGCCAGCTGGGCGGCTTCATCTTTGAGGTGGGGGATGGTAACACTTTTCAGTGGCTTGGGTTACCATTCCTTCCCCCAACCTGCAGGGTGGCCTTGTTCCCATCCCCCCCCTCAAAGCCACCTTGGAGTGCCAGGGTTTAGGATTGGGTATGCTTGTGGGGGCCCTTATTCCTGTAGAAAAGGAGCTAGGGACCAGGTTGGGGCCCAGAGGGCAACGCTTGGTCTTCCCTCCTCCACCTTGGGCGTGGGGCGGAGTGGAGCAGGGGTGGGGAGGCTTTAGGGTGAAGAACTGCGCAGGGATGTAAGTCTCTTCCCTGCCCCCGGGGGGCTGGGTCTGGACTTGGTCGGGGTGAGGGCGGGTCTGGCGTCCCAGCCCTTGGTGGGGGAGGGGCTGCCGCGTGGGGACGCAGCCCCCCCAGGCGCTGGGGGAGGGGCCTACGGGGACGCGGTGGGGGTAGAGCTGTAGAGTTCCTCCTCCAGGTGTCTGGGGAGGGCTGCGTGCTGGCGACCCCCTTGGCACGTCTCCCAGCCAAGGTAGGCGCGCTTGCGTCCGCTCCCAGCGGAGGTCACTTGCCTTGTCGGTCCCTCCCGCCGTCCCGCCCTCTCCCGCCGCCGCCGCTCCCAGCCCAGCCCCCCCAGTCTCGACGCTCGGGAGCGACAAGCCGCCAGCGCCCCCGCCCCGCCGCCGCTGCAGCGCCCTCCGGCCGCCATTCGCCACCGAAACTTTCCAGCGCCTGCTCTTCTCGGAGACTCGGTGGCGGGCCGGGGGCGGCGCGCGGCTGCTCCGGGGCGCCTGGCCCTCGTCGGCCTCCGCTCGGGCCCGGGCTGGTGACGGTGGACCTGCCAGTAAGCACAGAGCGCGGCCACAAGTTGCAAGGCTCGCGGTGAGGTGAGTGCATGCCTGGCAGGGGCGCAAACTTCTCGGGCCCAGGGGCCTGGCGGTGACCCTGATCGCAAAGGTAGGGCCCTGGAGCTCTAGGAGGGGCAAGTTCCCGTGTGTCCCCCCCCGGGGCGGCCGCGTTCCCTGCGTGCCGAACAATACCTCCGGGGCGGCCGCTCCCCAAAGTGGCCGCGCGCGCGGGGGGCGGGAAAGGCCTGGGTGCGCCTTTGTTTTGGGGAGGGGGACAGGCAAGTTTAGGGAAGCGCCGCCGTTTAGTCCCTGAATCTCTTTGTCTGCGGCACCAGAGGGGCCTGGCTGGGATGACCTGAGTCGCTTTGGGACTTGGGGGCCGCGCGGGATCCCCTTGTGGGGGAGGGGCGCCCCATTCATCCTCGAGGCGCAGGCCGGCGCTCCCGGAACCCGGTGGACGCGCAGCGGCGTGCGGGGGAGAGAGGTTGGCCCGCCTAAGCTCAGTTTCCGAGGCACAAACTGTCAAGGAAGTCCGGGAGCCCCCTCCCCACACCCACTCCCAGGCCTGGTCTCGGGGACCAGGCCGGAGGGGGGGGTTGACACCGATGGAGGGCGGCTCCCCCGGCTAGGTGAGGGTGAGGGACCGCCCAGTGCGGCCTGGGGAGGGTGTAAACCTGTTGCTTTGGGGCTGGGGAGGGGTTCTCTGTATTTGCCCTCACCCATATTTCCCTCTTAGGAATTTCCCTTACGCAGGGACGGATGCTGGGAGCGGGAGTTTATGTGGGAGGGGTGCGCCTTTGAACATTGGTGATCTCCCTATTTTGTGACAACTTTAGAAACGCTGGAGGCCCGCGGGTGCTGGATGGGGCCTGGGCTTCACGTGCGTGACCAGTGCCAGTGCGCAATCAGGAGCTCGGCTTGTGTTTTTTTTTTTTTTCCTTCCTTTTTTTTTTCTTTCTGTTTTTTTTTTCCTTTCGGGTGACTGGCATCTCAGGGCCGTCTGCACTGTAAATTCCGCAGTAAGGGTCAGCTCCGACGAAGTGTTGTTGAGCAAGACCTAAAACAGCTCCCCTCCCCCCCAACCAAAACCTAAGCCTCACTGCTAGTGCAAGTGTTTGTTTCTGTTCTGCTTCGGTGTGTGTGCCTTGACTCGACTTGTGTTTTGCTCTGAGCTAGTCCCTGGTTTAACTTGAAAGAGGGCACAGGACTATGGAGGAGGAATGAGCACCTTACCCCCAGGCTTCAGTTTAGGGTAGCAAATAGGCCTTCGTGGCTCTATGAAATTTACCATTAGTCATTTCTAGCAGAAATGGGTGTAGATGGCACTTCTTTTTTAAAGGGATTTTGTGTTCAAGTGTGCTTCAGATTTTCATGGAACCACCCACCTGGGTAATTAGTACGACGATGAAAGTTCACTTGATCCACTTATTAAAATGGCCCCCTAAAGCTTTTCAAGCCTTTAATCACACACACCTGTGGGACTGGCGTGGCGATTTGGGGTATAAGGCTCCCATCTACTCTAGGATACCTTCTTACTCAGGTCAGAGAAATCCATTTTGGTAGTACTAATGAAAGAAAAAGGAAGGCATTTTCCCCCTTTTATGGTATTGAGCCATAAAAGATAATGTAAATATTACCCTGGTTTTGCTGTTAGGTAAATGCTGAGTACTCTGCTAGGCTCAGAGTCACCAAAGAAAGGCCTTTGGGGAACATTGGAAATGGAGGCTAATTGATATCTGGTAAGGGTGGGCTATCAGAATCCTAGGGGTGCTAACAATAGTCTTTGATTCAAGTTTGTTGTGTTTTGAATAAGAATGGCCTCCATAGGCCCATATATTTGAATGTGCATTCTCCAGTTGGTGGAAATGTTTTTAGGAACGCTTAGGAAGTGTGTATCATTGAAGGTGGGCTTTGAGGTTTCAGAGGCCCACAGCATTCCCAATTAGCTAACTTTCTGCCTGTGCTTGTGGATCAGATATAATCTCTCAGCTACTGCTCCAGTGCCATGCCTGCCTGCCACCATGCTCCCTGCCATGATGGATGGTCATGGACTAATTAACCCTCTGAAACTGCAAGTCCCAATGAGTTCTTCCTTCTACAAATTGCCATGGTCATGGTGTCTCTTCAAATCAACAGGAAAGTAACCAAGACAATTGGATCAGTCCAGAGAATTATAAACATCTTCAATGTTTATATATTAATCTCAAGTTTTGTGTGCTTTAGTAGGCAGTGTAGGGCTACCACTAGTGTGGTGTGTAAGACTGTGGAATTGTAAATGGTCCTGAAGCATGTTTTTGTGTGTTCTCATCTTATGTATATGTTTGTGTACTTGTGTTTCTGGTTGCATGTGTGTATGCATGGTGATGGTCAGAGGTTGATAAGGGCTGTCTTCCTGAGTTGGTAGCTATCATGTTTTCAGGCAGGGTTTCCTCACAGAACCCAGAGCTCATTAATTTGGCTAGACTGGCTGGCCAGCAAGCCATAAGGATCCTCCTCGTTGTTGGGATTATAGACACAGGCTGTAGCATCCACATTTTACATGGGATTAAATTCAGGTTCTCATTGTACTGTGCCATCTCATTGAACACCATTTTTACATTAGAGTCTGTGTTTTTATCTTTGTGGTCACATGGTGAATCTGTCTTGGTAGTTTCTTGGGAGGGTGTTTATTGGGCACCATAGCTGAGAAAGTGGTTGCTTAGAGCAGCTGAGTTGTTGTGTCCATTTCAAGTAATGATTGGAGACAAGACCATGCTTTACCCCAGTTGGCCTGAACTGTGAAAGAGCCCCCCCACCAGTTGATGGAATTACTACTGTAATTTTTCCTAGCATTTTATATACATAAAAAAATCAAAAGGAGGGACTAAGGATGTAGCTCGATTGGTAGGGTACTTGTCTAGCAATCAAGAGGCTAGTTGTTCAGTCCCCATCTATGGATGTAATCTTAACACTGAAGAGGTAGAAAAAGGTTAGTATAGGGGCATAGCTTGGTTGCAGAGTGCATGTCTTAGCTCAAATGCACAAGGCCTTTGATTCAATCCCCATTACCTCTAGAAAGGACAAAAAACAAAAACAACAAAAAAAAAAAAACCCAATACATTTTGGTATGCAAATAAAGTCTTCACTTTACTAGAGGGTCCCTGGAGTGAATATTTCATTTTTTAAAATTACATTTGTTTTGTGTGTGTGTTTGTGTGTGTGTGGGGGGGGAGGACACAACTTGGAATAAGGTTTTTATTTCCATCATGTGAGTACTAGGTATAGAACTCAGGTTGTCAAACTTTGCACCAAGCCCCTTACTGGATAAGCCACATTACCCACCTTGTGATGAGTACTTAGAAATTTCTGCTGTGGATTATATTCACTGTTTCCATTTTCTAGCCAAGAAAATGATTTTTTTTATACAGGTTCTTTTTGGGGGGCTTGTTTTTTTTGAAACAGGGATTCTCTGTGTAGCTTTGGAGCCCATCCTGGCACTCAGTTTGTAGCCCTGGCTGTCCTGGAACTCACAGTGATCTTCCCTGCCTCTGCCTCCCAAGTGCTGGGATTAAAGGGGTCTGCTACAAATGCTTGGTTGGAAACTGACTCTTAATGGGGGAGTAATGCACAGAAACATAGTGGAGGGAAGGGCATATGTCTTAAGGCCCAGTTGTTAAAGTTGGTCTTCTGCCTTCTTATCTGTCTAGTGCGGATTTCCCACTTAAGACAAGATATCTGTAAATTCCTTTCCCTTTTCCTGCCCCCTCAGATCTCCATTAAATGTTGATAGAGGTCTGCCAATCAGTATTAGTTGTTTCTCAACATCTTGGAAGGCAGACCATAGTGTAGGGATTATTTTCTTCTATAGCTTCAACTCTGAGTCACATGTATTTAGACTTGAATTAGCCAAAACCAATTCTAGTTTATCTGAGTCCATTTTATGGATTCAACAGCACTTGGGACTCAACCAATAACATGTCTTATTGGACAGTTAAATGTGCAAAGGATTGATTGCCCAGGGCTGTTTTGGTATTTCTTAGTGACATTTTCATAAAGCAGGAATTTGAGTGTAGCTTTTTCCAGACAGGCTTTTTCTGTGTAGCTTTGGAGCCTATCCTGGAACTAGCTCTGCATTCCAGCCTGGCCTTGAACTCACAGAGATCCACCTGCCTCTGTCTCCTGAGTGCTGGGATTAAAGGTGTGTGTCACCATCTCTTGGCCAGTTTGTAGAGCTTTTTGTGTGGGTTCTGGGGATTGAACTCAGCTCTTGTCTGCTTGTGCTGCAAGGACTTCACACATGTGAGATGTGAGAAAAGTACTCTACCATGGAGCAACACTCCCAATCCATTTTAAATTGTTTTCTAGGCAGGGTTTGTCTTTGTAACAGTCCTAGATGACCTAGAACTAGGTGTGTAGACCAGGCTGGCCTTGAACTCACAGATAACTGCCTGCCTCTGCCTCCCAAATGCTGAGATTATAGGCGTGTGCCACCACCGCCTGGTCATTGTTAGTTTTTATTATGAGGCAAGACCTCACCAGGTGGCCTAGGCTAGCTTTGAATGGGTGATTATCCTGAGTAGCTGCTATGATGGGCTTGTGTCATCACACCTGGTCTGCCTGTGTCTAATGTTTTCAATCTCTTGTAAGTAAGCTCTGAGTAACTTGGGCTCTTTGTAGTCCTTTCTTGAAGATGAAATCCTAAATATTGAGTTTGAATCCAAGAGGTCAGAGTCTTCCAAATTAAAAGATCCACAGAGGAAATGCTTCCACAAGGTGCTGGTCACAGCAGTCAGTTCCTTTAAGAATGAAACATAGTTGGTAGTATTTCCTGAACACTGGCCCTTGAGTCAAACCTTATTATTATTTGTTATTTAATATATTCTTTGCATAGTTCTGTGTATACATTAGAGAAGTCATTTGTAAGGAAGGATGAGGGAAGGGAGAATAAACCCAATGTTGTATTTAATGGAGACATCTTTTTGCATCAGTTCTCTTGTACTATTTTTTATTTTTATCTTATCTTTTGATTTTATTATTTAGATTCATTTATTCATTCCCTC